TGTGTGTATATATGTGTGTAGGTATGTATGTATGTGTATGTGTGTATGTGTGTGTTCGTGTTGTGAGTGTGTGAATGTGTGTAGGTGTACACACAGGCATAGAGGACAAAGGCTGATGCCGGGGGCCATCCTTAATCATTCTTGACCTGTCTGTTTGAGAGAACACCTCTTACTTGAACCAGAGCTCACCAGGGCAGCTAGTCTAGCTAGCCAGCTTGCTCCAGGGTCCTGGCCTTTTCTTGGCATTTACGTGGGTTCTGAGGATCCGAACTCTGACCTTCTCTCCTGCCCCTCTAGTGATGGACCCACTGTGCCATCTCCCCAGCCCAGGGTACTACTTTCTAACAATGCTAGGAACTAGGGACCAGGGCTTTAATGCCCAGGCCTTCAGAGTGAGGGGGCTCCAGATTTAAACACAGCAAGTAGCATATAGGTTGGGGCAGGGCCTGGGTGGAGAGGACCAGCCAGGAGGAGGGGACCCGCTGGAGAGCAAATGGTCCTCAGAGGTCTGGCTGTGGAGTCAAGGCTGCAGCTCCAGTAATCTGGGCAGAGCTGTCATTTCCTCTTCTTCTTTTGGGACAATGGGTGACACAGTGTTCCCAACCTGACCAGGTCCAGCACTTGAATGATTCTTCTGTGGGAATGAAGTCACTGCAGCTCAGGGCCCTGTTTCTCTGAAAGGGTCCCTGAGTCACAGTTGGACTAGGGAGGGTCAGACCTGCCCCATCCTCCCATCGGGTGGAGCCTGATAGAGTCTGGGAGCCCTTGTGAGACTCAGGCTTGTGAACTGAGGGGCAAGATTATCGCAGGGCACCAGGCCGGTGGGGATCTGCCCTCACTCTCTGTCCTCCTGGCCTAGGTGTCTGGGCAGAGCGAGTCACCGACCATGCGTGTGCAGCTGTCTGTGAACAACACCAGGACACCCACGTCAGCCAACCTTTCGGACCTGCTTGTGCTTGATGAGATCGCTGGCCTCACTGTGAAGGAGTCTCCTGGAAATAAGACCCAGGATGGGATCCAGGCTTTCAGAGTGAAGTTTCTGAAAGGTAGCCACGGACGCTTCAGGCCACTGTGTGTTAGAGTTTGCTCCCTCCGTTTCCCTTTGGGAGGGCTACCACAGAGCTAGTCTGCTGTGGGGAGACAGGAGACCACCCAAAAGAAACCCCAGTGTCTGCCACTAAAAGTGTGGATTTCCTACTTGCTTTAGACAGAGGTGGGGTTGGGGAAGAAGTGCCAGGCATTATAAAAATACAGTTTCAGGTTTTTTTTTTGTTGTTGTTGTTTTGTTTTGTTTTTTTACAGTCTCAGTTTTATTTTGATCAGCTTCGGTTGGATGCAGTGGTAGATCTGTGAATTATAGTGAGTCAGTGACACATCAGTAGTTCACAGTGACCCTTCATCCTGCTGGCCAGAACTACTGCAGGTCAGGAAGATGAAAAGATAGAGGAGGCAAAGCTGGGCTGTCATCAGTCTCAGAAGCATGATCTTGAAATATTTAGACATGGCCACCCATGTGCAAGCATGTTGTTCACTGATGGGCTATTAGATTTCCACTACTCTAACAAAATATGGGCTAAGCATCTCCTAACGGGGGAAGGTTCATTTTGGCTCCTTGTTCTAGAACTTTTGGGCCCCATTGCTTTGGGCCTGTGGTGCTATAACTTGACAGTAATGTGGGATGACAGAGCAGTTCACCTTATTATGGTGTAGAACTGAAAGAAAAAAGGAAGCAAATGGAGTCCCATGATCCTTGCTGAGGGTATACCCCATTGCCTAGAAGCTGTCTGTCTTTGAACAGTTCATTCACTTTCCTGCCAATAGTAGTGCCACAGACCTGGGAGTAGGCCTCCAACACATAGGCCTTTGAAGACAATAGAGACAAAGGGTAGAATAATGTGGACTGCTAGCTTCCATAGGTCCTTCCTCATCTGAGCTATCCCAGATTAACTAACTTCAGAGGCATCCTTTCCCCCAGGAGGCTGGAGACTCCCTTCTTGTTGGCAAACATCTCATGTTCAAATGGAGAAGATGAAGCTGGAGTAGGTGGGGACGGCATGTTGGTGCTTCAGAGCACGGCTACAGTTGGATGAGTGAGGTCATGTGACCTGGCCCTTGGCCTAGTCAGGACCTATATTGGCCTTCGGTCCCTTCCAATGCCCTTTCCAGCTGTGGGCCTCATGCCTATCCATTGCTGTCCAGTATCTTTTCATGGCTTTCGCTCCTGTTGGATCATGCCTGTTCTGACCCTGTCCCTCAGACAGTGCTGGGAGGTCCCTCTGTCCTTCCCAGAACATACACGTCTCTATTCTATAAGGATTGGATTGGTCTTAGGGTTATCTTTCCTGGAAGTTCTACTTGATTCCCAAATTCAAGGCCTCCTCTTGCCTCCAATCTCCCACGGGGACCCATCTCTTGAATGTCCCTACTCTAGCCATGCCTCACCTTAAATTCTAACTAAATCCTATTCCACCCTGCGGGGCACACTTCTCCTTGTCTGCACCAAGCCTGGTGGCATGCCCTGAGGGGGGGTCAGCGTCATAGTGACGTAGAGAGATATCAATACAGCCCAGCCTGGCCTGTGGGAAGTGGCTTGGCTTGGTGGGCACTGTATCATCTTTCCATTCTTGGTGCTGTATTCTCCAGTTTATTCCAGGCCTTTGCTCTGTCCAGGAGGCTGTGTGCCATAGGGACACAGTCAAGGTCACCTGTTCCTGAGCTCACCACACTGGCTTTCAAGTTAGGAGACAGGCAACCCGCTCACCCAACAAACGATTCTAAAATCAAATGGTGAATCAGACTCTAGTTTCCTGCCATTTTGACTTCATTACCACCATCATCCTTTGTCTTTTTTTTTTTTTAAGTGTAATTTATCTGGCCTGAGAGCTAAGTGGTTTTTACTTACCACTTGGCTGATCTCCGTCATGGAGGTGTCTCCTGCACGCCACCACGGAAGAGAATACCCTCTTGGGGGATGTGCAGGGATGCTCTTGGTGCAAGAACTATGATCTGGGGACCGCCTTCCCCATCTCAGCATCTTAGCTGTTGTCCTTGTAAGAAAGCCAAGTGGACATGCTGATTTTCCTAGACAAACTGCTTCCGGGCTCCATGCTCATCTCCCCTGCTTTCGACACAGTGGCCTTGCTGTCTCTAAGTGAAGCGTAGTAGATCAGCTCTGTCATCCACCTGCTGGACTGGAACCCTGCAGGAGCTGAGGCTTCTGCCTTCTGTGGGCAGCGCCCCTGGGAGAACTCAGATGAGTGTGCTTCAGAGGGAGAAAGGCACAGAGAGACCAGCCCTGCTTCTAGCAGGTTGTGCCTGCTTCTTGCTGGGTGGCCAGAAGGGAAAACTCTAAACTTTCTCTGTCCACTGGGCCACTCCCAGAATCCCCCGGAGTGTGTAAAATCTAGATGCTTCTGGCTGGGTCCTAGGCATATGCAGGGTTGCAGATAGGCATGTGTGTGTGTTTGGGGGTTATTTAGGGGTGTGGCATGGTGTGGGGAGTCTTGTCTCCTTCTTGACCTGTGTTTGCTCTCTCTCTGAGCAGTGGGAGAGTGCTACTCTGTCAGCTACATGGCTTCGCTGGACCCCACAGCTCTTGGAACTGGAAAGAGCCTGGACCTTCCAGCCCTGCTCATGTTTCAGAACCCCTCCTCACAGGTAACCCTGTCATGAGCTTGGGACCTGCCACTGCCCTGTATGGGTGCTTGGGGATCCTGAACACAGGCGCACAGAAACAGTCCTTCCTTTTTTAGTTCCTTCCTTCCTTCCTTCCTTCCTTCCTTCCTTCCTTCCTTCCTTCTTTCCTTCCTTCCCTCTCCTTTTCTCCCCCTCCTTCCCTTCCCCTCTCCATCACTTCTTTGCTGCCTGCCTTTCTTCTTCCCTTCCTCCCCCTCCCTCCCTCCCTCCTTCCCTTCCTTTCTTCCTTACTTCACAGCCCCCTTTCCCTTTCTTCTTTCCCTAGGTGTTGTCACCTGCTGACAAGGGCAGCTTCCCTGATAAAAACCACCCCCTCCCTTCTCTTCCATGTTCTATATTAACTAGTTTCCTTTTCCAGCCACCTTTGGGTTCGGTGTGGCTCCATTTAATAGATGAGATAGGTGAGACAGCCAAGGCACATGGAGTTGAGCACCATGCCTGAGTCTAGACTGGCAGCACCGCCCCACCTGGCTCACCTCAGAGAGCCGTGCCCCTTCTCAGGCCTTGGGACGTGGGTTTGGGTTGCCACAGTCTCCAGTAGAAAAGCTGCAGTTCCAGCCCCACTGCTTCCTGAAGAGGCTTTAGGAGTTGGACAAACCCCACTTTACCCCAGCAGCCAGGGGCTAGTCACCATTGAATTTAGATGTATGGGTTGGACGTGGGTCAGACTCCACATGACTGAAGCATTTCTTCTCTCTCTCTTTCCCAGAACAGAACGCAGATAAAAACCCCCTTTACCATCACAGTGGAAGAAAAGATAACGGTAAGACAATGTTCAGATCCACTTTGTGCTCATGCTCACCTAGGCCTGTGATGTGTTGATGTGTGGCCTGACTTCAGAGCCAAGGGGAGGTACTGGACAAGGGCCTTCCAGGCGAGGTCTTAGGCCCTGTGGGTCCTGAGACTGATTCTCTTGATGACCTTCAGTGACGGGTGATCTTGAGTGCCAACCTGATGGGAATTAGAATCATCGTGGAAACTGTATCATTTTCTGTTGGTGCAATAAAACACCATGTTCAAGGTAGCATACATAGGGAAGAATTTATTTGGAGTCACTTTTCCAGGGAGATAAGAGTCCATCATGGCAGAAGGTATGATGGCAAGATCAAGAAGCCAAAAGATGATAACTCCAACCACAAACACAAAGCAAGTAAGATGGGCTCTTTACTCCCAAAGCTCACTTCCAGTCATGTGCTTCCTCCAACAAGGCCAGACCTCCTAAAAGTTCTGTAACATCCCGCAGACAGTGCCACTGACTGGGGACGAAAGTTCACACATGTGACCTGGGAAGAAATTTTATATTCACACTGCCACAGAAGCAAGCCTCTGGGCATGTCCTTGAGGGAGTTTCTAGATTGAGTTAACTGAGTTCAAACATCTATCCTATGGGGCTGGGGTCCTAGCCTAGCTGTTGGGGATGGTTTGTCTTTCCAGATTGTACCAGGACACCGTGTCTACAGGCAGTCTCCCTGCCTCAGCTGTTTCATTAGGAGTCTGTTTCCATTTTGCTTGGCACACACACACTCATTCTCCTGTGTCTAACAAGTGTGACTCACTCTGTGGGTTAGTCATCTTTTTCCAGGAGGAAGAGTGGGGGAAAGGGAGGAAGAGAGATAGAAGAGGAGGGAGGAGAACGGGTCCACAGTATGCACTGGTTCATATGATGCTGGAGGCCAAAGAAGTCCCTGTGTACCCAGCCCCGTGGCATAGCCCAAGTTGCAAGTCCTCAGGCCTGGGGCTTGCTGATGGTGTGACTCATCCAGGATGCAAGTCTAAGAAGCTAGTGCTCATTGGTGTGTGGCCTACAACATTAGGCAGAGAGATCTTGAATTCTGTGGTTCATGGACAGACAAGAAGAATGTGTCTCTGCACCAGGAGACAGTCAGTCAGTCAGACAGTCAGTCAGGCAGACAGGCAGACAGGCAGACAGGCAGACAGGCAGACAGGCAGACAGGCAGACAGGCAGACAGGCAGACAGGCAGACAGGCAGATTCATCTTGGCCCTGGATTGGTTCCCTTCTGGTCCAGCCAACTGGGTAGCACCTGTACATACTCACGTGGAGTAGATCTGGGTGTTGTTCAAGTTCACACACAGGTAGGGCGGGTCTGGGGGGCACCTGTCTATGTTGAAATACTGGGTATATCTTTCTGTTTTGACTCACTATCTCCCTCAGGTACACCCAAAGCCAGGATTTTCCCTGGTGTTCCTAGTATTTATCAAGCTATGACCAGAGACACTTCCTCAGCATCTTAGGGGCCAGGTCTCTTAAAAAAATCATGAATGTTCAGTCTTATCATCTTTGACACAGGCTTGTGAGAGAGATTCTATTATTAAAGAACTTCTATTTCACAGGTGGGCAAACTGAGGTCATATAGTTTGCTCAAGGTCCTCTGTCTAGAACGGTGTGTGCTCTGAGGCCACCCCTAGGCTTGGTGAGCACAGAGATTATCGGTTGATCTCATGGCTCTGACTGAACTAGTGAAAGGCTACTTGCCTTTCAGTTCATCAGGATCTAGGATCGCTTAAAAGACACACTACTGGGCATGCCTATGAGGCATCTTCAGAGGGTTATACCTGAGGAGGGAAGACCCACCTGAATGTAGCCAGCACCATTTCCATATGCTGAGGGCTTAGACCAAATAAAAGAGAACAAGCATGCTGAACAGCAGTGCCCATCTCTCTTTGCTTTCTGCCTGTGGCTGTGATGGAGGTATGGCCTTTGATTCCAGGTATTCTGGTGGCAAACTCCACAGCTGTGTGGTGAGGCTCAGCACCTCCTACAGGCCAAAGCCCTGCATGGAAGAGATGGAAACAAGGCCAGGTCTAGCTTTTAGCAAGCCTGCAGTCCAGTGTCACAGCTAAAGATGCAGATCACTGTTTGTTTTGTTGATCTGAGAGCTCCAAAGGAAGGAGCCTGATCTGGTTCATTCTGTGTCCCTTTTACTGCCTCACCTGGTAGGTGACAATCAGTCAGTACATATCTCTTGATTAAGCTGATTGTCCCCAATGATGATTGCCAGTCCATTGAAGAGGTGGCAGATGCCTTTATGATTGTGATGGAGAACATTGTCTTAATGGATGTGCCCTGCCTTCAAGGCCCAGCTCTCCCCCAAGGATGCAAAGTGGCCTGCCCTCTCCAGGGCTCAGGCCGCCTCTCATCTATGCAGTGCCTTTGGGAAAGAAGAAAGAGGTGCCTGTGCAGGATGCAGGCCACCCCTGTCCAGGTACCCTCCGGGCCCTGTTCAAGGTCTCTGTGCAGTACAGACATGAGGCATGTGAGTGTGAGTCTCCGCAGTACTGAGTGTAGCAGGCTTTACGACCTTGTGGTCTGCTTTGAATCATGACTTTGCGCTGACCGTATGTGACCTTCAGCATGGTTTAGCCTGTCTGGGCCTCAACTTTCCCAGTCACAAAATGGGAACAGGTGTCTATCCAGGCACATGGGTTAGTCTATGAAGAGCACCGTGTTTCTCTAAGTCTCTGTGAACAGCGGCGCCTGTTGCTGGTGTCGTCTTTATGCAGCAAGTGAACAACATCAACCTGCCAGTGGTCCGTGATCAGTGAGAACAACCGTGGCCGTTAAGGTCCCAAGCTCAGGTGTGGTGCCGGGGTTGCTGCACTGGTACTAGAAGCCTGTGTGTGGCCCAGTGCAGTATTCTAGGGACTGGAGTCTGCTGTGCACAGCTTCAGGGGAAAGCAGATGCTGACTGTAGGATGGACACGACCCCAGGTATCCAGTGAGGCTGGCTCCTTGGCTCTGAGTGTGTCCAGCAGGTCTGGCCTGGACCCTTGTAGAGGTGACAGAGCTATAGCGTGGGAGAGTAGTGGCTGGAGGAACACCAGTATTGTCATCAGACAGAACAGTGGAATGCATCTGCTTGCTATGTGGCCATCACGTGGGAGCATGCGGAAACGATTCTACTGCCTCTTTAATTTTCCACCTCAAGCTATCAAGGCCCCAAGAAATATCTTCTTCGTTTACCACCCAGATCCCTGTCATCCACGCCCTGGGTGAGGGGAGCCTCCGAGAGTGTCCCACAGTGCCAGACATGAACTGCAGGTCTGGATTCCTCCAGACCCAACTGCTTCCTGTGCATTGGGGACTATCAGCTGGCAGGCACCAGGACAGCAGGTTGCAATGCTATCTGGGAAGGATCTGAGGACCCATGAGAGTTCCACCAGTGGTCACAAGAGCCAGAGTCATTCAGAGCTCACTGCTAGCAGAACTCCCAGGGAGATAGAGAACTCATGTGTTCGTCTATGCAGTGCAGTGGTGTTTTATTAAGTGGAGCGAAGATAGTGTCCTGTGTGGATTTAGGGCCAAATGACTGTATTTCCTGAAAGAATAGCAGAGGTGAATGTTATAATCAAACCAAAATATAACTAGATACAATAATATGAGTAATAATATGAGTTAATATGAGGAATAATCGGGGGAATTGAATATAAACAGTTGGGAATTTTACACAATAGCAAGAAAGATAAATGAGAAACTTGAGGTATTTAGAGTGTATATAAAAGATAAGTGTCGTCCTAGTATGTAAAGAGCATGTGTTAACTAACAGAAGAGGAATACCGTAACAGACGGCTAGCAATGAAGTGAGAATTCTCCAACACATGGCTTTAGGTCAAGCCCATGATGCCTAGTGGATGTAACACTATTTGCAAAACCACGAGGCTTTGAGTTGAGGTGCTGGTGTGCACTTAATCATGTTATTCCTATTGTTTCTTCTGCCACATCGCTTTCCAGCCCCACTGACCCTTGTTCTGACCTCACGTCAACACAAGACTCTAGTTGTCCTCCTTAGAACACAGACTTCCTGTGCTCTTTCCTTAGGAACTTCTTGTTGAGCTTCATCAGAGAAGTTAACCCTCTCATCTCCTCCGGCTGACACTGGGACCCTCTGTTTTCCATGTGATCCCCCAGGCCTTTCTCTCAGGCATCTCTCAGAACTCAGAGCAGCTTCTCTGGTTACCTCTACTCCCCAGGCAGGTTGTTTGCCCCCTGCTGGACTTCCATGGGATCGCAGCTTTAAGCTTATGCCGTTTGTTGACAAAAGAGACTTTGCCTGGAAGAGCCCTTAAGATGATTTGGCCCTTAGTCTTCATTTTAGAGGGAAAGAAGCAAGTGCAGAGATCTTGGAAAGTGGCCATGATCACGGTGCTTTACACCACCCTGGCTCTGAGGAGGCCCCTGTCATGTGTGCTCATACTCGTGAATTACCAAGCGTATCAGTCAGGGTTCTCTGAACCAATCAGATGAATTTATTTAAAGGGGTTTATTAGATTTGTTTGCACAAGATGGTCCAGATTAGTGGCTCCCAACCTTCCTAATGCTGTGACCCTTTAATATAGTTCTTTGTATTGTGGTGACCCCAACCATAAAATTATTTTCGTTGCTACTTCATAATTATAATTTTGCTACTGTTATGAATCATGATGTAAAAATATCTGATATGTAGGATATCTGATATCAACCCCTGTGAAAGGGTCACTTGACACCCCTGAAGGGGTCATGATCTGCTTACTGAGAACCTCTGGTCTGGATTGTTCAACCACAGCCATCTTCGCACAGGGGAGGCAGAGAACCGTAGCTTCTCAGCCCACGAGGCTGGCTGTCTCAGTGATTCCAAAGGCTCCAAAGGCCCAGAGGACTCCTGGAACGTCTCTGGTCCTTAGCCCACCTTGGAACGCAGAAGAAGCTGGGCTTCCACGTCAGTGGAGGGCGAAGGTGGCAGCAGCAGCAGGGCCAGCAGCAGCAGGGTGGGTGAACTTTCAAACAGTAGATGAACTCACCAGCAAGAAGGCAGACTGTGAAGCCTTTCCTCACAGATCTCCTTTTATCTGGGCTACCACTGGAAATTATTAACCATACTTAGTGCGGGTCTTCCCCCTTCAAATGACCCAATATAGAAAATCCCTCAGGGCTGTGCCCAGCAGCTAGTTGATTTCATATCTAGTAAAGTTGATAACTAAGATGACACATCACAGCAAGGCTGCATTAGGACATGTGACATATGATTGGCATTTCTTGCAGTCGATCCGATCTTTCATTAATCATTTGGAGGCCAAGAGTCTCTTTGCTGTCACTGCCACCTCTCCAGTTCACTGGCACAATGGGGCAGTAAGCCACCATCCGGCCTGCTCCTTGGATATGGAGGTCAAGCAAAAGATTTAAACAAAACTTGCTGAAACCTCTTCCCAGAAAGTTGTCTGTGTCCCCCTTTCGCCATGTTTGGGGAAGTAAGTGGGCATAGAGAGTTATCATATGTGTCCTCTATTTCTTGTGTTTGGGGGAGTGGGTGGGCATGGGACATCATCATGTGTGTCTCCCCATTTCCTGTATTTAGGGGTGTGGGTGGCAGTATTACTGTGTAGCCACTGGACATCCTGAGGTCTCTCTGCACCCAGCCTCCACACCCACAGAAGAGCTGAACAATGGCAGTACTCCCACACCGCCCCCTTCCCCGGGAGAACTACTGCTGGCGTGTTAGCTTCCTGCCTTCCAAGCCTATAGATATATTTATTGCATAATTAAAACCAAACTTTCTAAACAAGCCTTCTTTGTGTCTTTGCAACGCGGTATTGAATTCCCATCTTTTCAAGTCTTCCTTGAAAGGCCGTATTGTGAAGTATCTCTCCTTGTAAATGCTATGAGGGATCTATCAAAGGCAAGGTTGCATAGAATGTGTGATTAAAGGGGTGGGCATGACGAGCGATGATTCTTTGAAAGAGGAGGGGAGGGAAGTCGGCGTGCTCTGGGGGTGGGGATCATCGTAGCCACCTCTTTTACTGTCTGCCTAGACATCACAGCATGTGTTTGCTTGTGTCCCATCATCTCTGCTGACTGTGGTTAGTGGAGGACTTTGGCTGTGCTGTTTGTGTTAGGGATAATGACTCAAGGCTGGATCTAATGCTCTGACAGCTTCCGTTTGGGTTCCTGTTTCTCCAGGAGAGGGTTTCTCACCCTGGTGGAGGGGTTTCCCTGGTGCTAGCCTTCCAAACTGGTGTCAGCTTTTGAATGCTCACGCCCACTCTGTCACTCAGTACTCCATCCAATTTTTGTTGCCCAAGTATTCCTCTACTTGAGCCCTTCTCTGCTCACAGTAATAATGGCAGCTCAGATGTCCTGAGATGGCTCAGCAGTTAAGAGCACTTGGTTGCTCTTCCAGAGGACCCAGGTTCGATTCCCTGTACCTGTATGGCAGCTCACAACTGTCTGTAATTCCAGTTCCAGGAGACCCGACATCCTCACACAGACATACATTAAATAAGTAAATCAAGTTTAAGAAACACTCTCTCCCCCTCAAAAAAAGAACAGATATTTTGACTGAGGACAAGGTGCCGCAGCTTTTGTAATGTGGATGCTGTGCGTATGTGTGTGTGTGCATGGTTGCATGTGTGTGAGTGTGTATGTGTGTATGTGTGTGAGTGAGTACGTTCATGGGGTGTGGTGTGTGAGTGTGTGTGCATGTTTTGTGTGTCCATATGCATGCATGTAACAACAAAATAGGAAATTTACTAGCATTGATATTGTGTGGATTAAGTATTGTGCACTCGTTGCTACTATATAGTTCCAGAACATTCTCATCACTTTCAGAGGAAATTCTATACCTATAAGCCTTTGCATTCATCCCCTTCCTCCCAGCCCCTGGCATCCATTTCCCTGTTTTCAATCTCTCTGGTTAGTGGACTCTAGGTATTTCTCAGCATCTGTCTTTTGTCTCTGGTTATGCTGCTGTGGGGTCATCTACACGAATGGGGAACCAGCTGGTGGCATCATGAGGGAACCTCAGACTCTCTTCTGTCCATGCAGGTTCTGCCTAACCATGGTCTCCATGCAGCAGCCTTCATCGCAGCCTTCCTCATCTCCCTCATGCTGACCTTGGTGAGCCTGTTCTTCCTGGCACAGGGTTGGTGTCTTCAGGGAAGCGTGCTGGCCAGATGCCGGGTGAGTCTCCCTCCCAGGGATGCTTTGATTGGCAGTGATGTAAGGTGGATGTTCAACCTTCAGCCTGATGTGTCCCAACTCTGGACCATGGTAGACCTTGTCGGCGACCTAAGGATAGATGCTCACCTTTGCTTGTCCTGGGACACAAACTCATCATTAACCCTAGGGTGGTGATGTATCTCAATGATAGAGCACTTGCCTAGCCTATGCCAGGCCTAGCCACAGCATTGCCAGGAAACAAGCAAATTAATTAATCCATTTGTTAATTAAGCAAAAGCTCCTAGGATGATTCCTTAAAAATTTTATTCCTCATCTACACACAATTGTGTAAGTTTATCAGGTAGAAGGTGATAGCTTGTCACGTGTATGCAAGGACATGGCAAGCCCATTACCCCAGCCATTCATCATTTCTCTGTGTGGGGAAATGTAAAAACTCTCTTCAGCTGGGGTGAAACATGAGAAACCTTCATGTCAACCAAGCTGCTGCACTGTGCTGTGGAACTGCCCAGCATTTTCCTCCTGCCTACTCCAACACGGGCCTTGGGCCAGCCTCTCCACCTCCCTGCACCCTCCCCAACCCTGAGAACCATCATGCTATGCTCAGCCTCTAAGGGATAACCTGACCGGTACCTCATTTCCTCCACTTAAAATGATCATGTGAGTTTTTTTCATTCAGTTTGCTTCTATGGTAAATTACCTCGACAGATTTTCATACATTCAACCATCCCTGCACGGAGAAGTATTTTTTTTATAGTCCTTCATCATCATCCTCCCTGTCAGAGGGAAACTGGTAAGTAGCCTCCTCAACCTGGACATGATCTTGCTGGTTGCTTCCTGAGGAGCACACAGGCATATGGGAAGGAACTAACACAGCCACAGCCTGCAGGAAGATTGGCAAGGAAGCTTGCTTTGCCCTGTCTCCAGCACCTCAGGCAGGTTGGCTCCAGGTGTCTCTGACAGTACACCTGGCATTATTGATGACTCGCTCCTCCTGCCATGTCCTGCAGGTTTTATTTCCTTCAGACAGAGTGACTTTGAATCTAGCCTCAGAGTGGACTCCTTTGCAAATGAATAACAGGAGCTGAAAGAGCTTAGGCCTAAAAGGTCCTGGGCAGAGTCAACCTATCACGCTCATACCCCCAAAGAAAGCTGTTTCTATCTTCCCAAGAAGCCATCACCTGTCAGTAGTTCCTTAGTTGGGGGTGGGGGTTCATGAGCCCTTCTCTCCTCATGGTGAAATGTTGGTAGCTTGATTTTATGCAGGGCTTGTAGGCCACCACAGCTGCTGCAAATTCAGAAGTGCAGTGATTCTGTCATTCCCAGAAGATATTGTTTCACCCTGCCCTGGTCCATTTGACTTCTGCTTGTGTGTGTGCGTGTGCGTGTG